TTTTTGCAGGGAGATCAGCAATGGACCCCCCATGAAAACAGGGGGCCAACTGTACATTGAAGTGTTTAGGCCTGTTGGATTTTTAAAAAAAGATAAAAAAAGTTGCTGATGCATGCCAAAGTCTCCTGCTGCCCTCACCTACTGCTATATTGTTGTGCAGAAGAGGGGTGGGCATAAGTAAATGAACAGAAGAGCCTGTAGTATAAATGCTTGTTGGTGTCTCTGCTCTCACAATGAGACTCTGATCAAGACACTGTCCCCCCCCCCCCCCATCTTGTTTGTTTAATGACATTTTCATGATGTGCACTCTCCAAGGAGTTTTGGAATAGCTTACAGGAACCTCCCCATTCTATCCTCAGAACAACCTTGTGAAGTAGGTCAGATTGGGAAACAACCTTGTGAAGTAGGTCAGATTGGGAAAGAGTGAATGGTCCAAGATTACCCAGTGAGTTTCATAGCCAAGTAAGGATTTGAACTCAGATCTTCTACACTGGCTCTCTCTGGTTGCTTCCCCTGCATTCTGGGAGGAAAACTGTGGCTTCCTAACTTGCTAAAATTGCCCATCTTTGATTTAGATCAATGTTACTGGAAGAGTTGAGAAGTGACATTCTAACATTAAGAGTTAAGAAGAGTGTTGGGGGGTTTTTTTGGTTGTTGGTTTTTTGTTTGTTTGTTTTGAGAGGGACTATTTCACCTTGAGTACCTGGATCTTGGAATTTTAGTCCAAAAAGCAACTTTTGTAAGCTGGTCTGCAAAGCATACTTGCTTGGTAAACTCTTTGCTATCAAATTCTTTGGTCAAAGTTTAAGGCAAAAGCCTTCAATCAGCCTTGCAGTCAGATAGTGTTTCTCCTTTTGTGGGAAGTCTCTTTCCGGTGTGCTTCATGGTAAATTGAGGTGTTCATACTTTGAGCACTAGACATTGTGGTTAAAACAGAGCTCTTTCTCCCCTCCCCTCCCTTCTATCAGTAGATAAATTGACTGTCTCAATCAAGTTTCAGGTCAAATCCTTCCAAGACAAAAATCAAATTGTCCCAAAAAAGTATCAAGCTTGACATCTTTGCATGCTAAAAATGACTCCTTCATTGATAACTTGCCTGTTTAAGTAAAACAAAATAGCTTCAAAGTTATCACGGTCCATGATATCTCATAATGCACAGTGCATGAACTTCAACAAATGATATGTAGCAGGAGTGAACAACTATTGGGGATTAAAGGGCTGCATTGGAGAGTATGGAATTCACACATATTGGCCAATTTTAACCAAAACTGCTATTTAGATTTAGGTTGACATCCCCGCCCCCAATAATAATAATAATAATAATAATAATAATAATAATAATAATAATAATAAAAATAAAAATATTTGTATCCCACTTATTGAAAAAACAATCCAAGCGGCTTACATAAAAACCCATACGATACAACCCCAAAGACCAACCCCCCCTTAAAACAGTATTAAACATCTCATAATTAAAATAACAATAGACATAAAAACAATTAATATAAACAATAACAAATAAAAACATTTATAAAACAGCAAAACCTGGCCAACCTCTAAGACGTTCCTCATCCATCGAAATGATGGGGCCACGAGAGGAAGAAGGGGGCCGGGAAGCCCAAGGCCGGGGTAGTTAATCTGGAAAGGCTTGCCGGAAGAGATCCGTCTTGACAGCTTTTT